TCAGCAGGCCATGTAGCTGCATCAAACTTGCTTCTCAGTAGTATTGGCAGGCCTTGAATCAGACCAAAAATGGCTTGTCAAATAAAGTCAAACAACACTGCTCAATATTTGCCCTGTTGCATCCAACCATCTGCATTACACTGTACCCTTTGGTGCCCATGAGAAAAAAAGACTATGGGTTGGACCTCTCTGGTCCAGCCCCCTCCAGGACCTGACCGGTCCTGGATGAGAGATTTTGCTAGACTGCGGAGGTCATCATCTGCCCTCGCTTCCCATCCCATGCTGTGCTATTGCCTCCCCAGCCATATTTGCCCTGTTGCATCCAACCATCTGCATTACACTGTACCCTTTGGTGCCCATGAGAAAAAAAGACTATGGGTTGGACCTCTCTGGTCCAGCCCCCTCCAGGACCTGACCGGTCCTGGATGAGAGATTTTGCTAGACTGCGGAGGTCATCATCTGCCCTCGCTTCCCATCCCATGCTGTGCTATTGCCTCCCCAGCCCTGGACCTGCTGCAAGTCCTGCTGCCCTACTGGTCCCCATCCCTCCCTGCCTCCCTCCCTCCCCTCCTTGCCTGTCATGCTTGGCAGGCCAGCTAGGGTGTGCCTGGCAGCCCTGCTATGGGGAGCTGGGCTCCCTACTGGCAGGGGGTGTAGGCACCAGTGCTCCAGTAGGACTCTCTGGTCCTGCAACATCCATGGTCTGGGATGTTGCGGGACAAGAGAGTATCATTTTACAGAGGTTCAGCCTGCAGTTGTTACGGAGACCACAGTAATGCACAGTGCCCTTCCTCCTGTACTGATGTAATCTAATAGCAATATCAACAGAGTTGCAAACTGAGACAATTAGGGCTCATGTACCTGCTGTGTGATATGCTAATTGGCTGTTTGGCCTTGTATGCTGGCCAGATATTAGCTGTTGCAAGATTTCAAATTCTGTTTGAGGAAAGCAAGGGATGTTGCAGTTTTGTTGCTTAGCCTAGTGTAGGGCACAGTGAAGGGAGTAGTATTCAAATGGATACGCAAGTGCCTCTTTTATACAGTCCTGTGCAGATCCAGCTTAACATCATTTACATATACAGATAATGATACTGATCACCTGTTTGTGCAGACCACACTTGACTCAATCTTCTCTGTCTTATGCTAACTGCTGAGCATAGCGAGATGACACTTGCTACTGCTAGTGTTAAGAAATAGAACAGAAACAGGGCAAGGGCTAGGGCTTATGATTTAGGACCATGGGAATGATAAGTGTGGGGAGGGGAGAATCAGAGGAGAAAGATGTTGTCATCAAGTCGGTAATACTATTAGGGTATTGGACTGAACACTTCACTTCAGTTCATTAGACCTAACTTAAAGGGTGCTATTGGAGGCTGCTATGCTTAGTATATTCATGTACATTTACTGAGATAGGCATGAACCCCTCCACTCCACTCCCTGCCAGTTCTCCCATTACTTTAATTGACCGAGACTGGTCCTTGATTGAGGCTATATTATAATGAAAATACTGTTTGTGCGTCATATAATCAATGTACCTCTTACCAACTATGATAGGGTGAGTAGTATTTTTTTTTCTTTTTAATTGTTCATGTCCCCCTAAAAAATTAGCTACTAGCCTGTTTGTTTAGGAGCCAGGTTCTGCTGGTTCATTCAAGTCATTATCTAGTTCCATCACCCTACAGGTGGGTCATTAAATCACTTTGTATGTGAAGGATATTCAATATCATATCTCAGCAACTACTATCCATTTTCAGGATTTTATGCTTCTGTTAATTATGCAAGTCAAGAGCTAACTTTCTCAGGGTGACTTGTCTCCTGATGTATGACATTAGAGCAGTTAAAACTCTCCACTACTGGTATTGTAAGTTTTTTGTCCATATCTGTAAGGAAGATTTGGCTTCCCTGTTAAGCCAGGTGACACAAATAGAGGTCATAAGTAGTGCAGCTAGGAAGGGGGATTGGTTTGCATGTCATCATTCTTGACAATAGATGCTGAGAAATACGGCCTTAGAAGCCATAAATATCATGGTATATTTTCTTTAAGTTTTCTACCTTGGGAGCCTTAATGGGGACTTAAATGTTAACCCTCACTAGTTTATTTCATGCTGTCATTACATGATGAATAAATTTCAATGAGCTTGGATTGCTTGTGCTCATGGGATCAGAGAAAGTCCTCCTTGGCTAAGACTCTTAGGGCTCGTCTACACTGG